TAACAAATGAAAAATTATTTAAATTAAATACATTTTCAATCAATAACTTGTTTAAAATCTATGATGAGATCAATGAATATAATGATATTTATTGGTCTAAATATTTACTTATAATATGGTTAACATTAAGTTGTATTATATCGGACACAATATACAGAGGAAAATCCTTTAGATAAGTGATGATCCGTTTCACTGCAATACATTTTATATATGTGCAATGCTAGCACATGTATTGCAATGAAGCCGAAGTATCACTTTTCTAAAGGAGTTTTCGCTGTATATCGTGTTTTTAAGTGATAGCAATATGTTTAGTAAAATCGGATATTTTATGTTTTTAATGGGGTTTTCATTAATCCTGATGTTTATAATCCGTATTTCTTCACTAATTTATATTGAAACAAATATTTCATACAAATTATTAAATTCAATATTTTGCACAAAATATACAAAAAATTATTTAGGATTTAAAATAAAGGTTTGTTAAAATCTATATTAATTGTATCTTATTTTAATATAATTTTTATATAATTATATTTATAGTTATTAACATTAATTGAAAGAATTGCTACAAAAAGAGTGGGCTTTTATTGTTGGAAATTATTTATTATAAACACTTTCAGGGGATATGAGGTCTGTGTTATAATTATTGTTATACCATATTATATTAATAAATTATTTGAAATATAATTTATAGATAACATCAATGATTGCATTATTATATTAAAACTTCTGGATATATCGCGGAAACATTTTTGACATACATTGCACATCGGCATACATCTCTAGAATTGTGATTAAATAGTTTTATATAAATTCAAATACAAGTTATTTTAATTTTCAATATTTAGCATAAAATACAATAATTGTTTGTTTTATAATTAACACAAAGTATTCATTCAAATATAATAATGATATTAATTAAATAGTTATAAATATTAATGGAAATATAATTATACATATTATTCAATAACATATCAAAAGCAATGCAATAAATGGATAAACAAAAATGAGATCATTTGAGTGTCAAATCAATTCGTAAGTCTTCGGGCCATAACCTCATTGTTCACGTCATCCACAGTACGTTGATATCCATCGATCTCTTCGGCAGAAGTCTCGCGAACGGAGGTTAAGAAGCGTTCAAAAGTGGTCAACCGATTCATGAGACCCGACTTCTCACTCGCGGACACCTGTAGTCCTTTGACAGCCAATATTGTGCGGAAATAATTAGACGCCAACCGATTCTTAAGTGATCGCATTTCAGGGCTTAATAGCACTACTTTGCTATCCAGCGAAGAACCCGAGCGTTTGGGCGCCGGACCCGTTGGGGCTCCAGATTGGGTGCTATTATTTATACGCATTGACCCAAATTGGTTGCTAAGCAACAGTTGGGAAAAGTGGTCACCAGCCGGCGATTGAGTGGGCATAGAGTCGGCCATCACTTGAAAACTGTTGGCCACCCGTTGGCGACGGAATTGCCCGACGGGTTTGCCTGTGTTTGAGATACAATAGATTTAAATTCGTAATTAAATAACTGTAATTTCATTACCATGGTAAGTCGTATTATTCCCATCGTTAACGGCCAGTGCGCTAACATTATATCTGCCGGCGCCGCTATAGTGGGTAAAGTAGGCGTAATAATAGCCGTCGTTATGATACAAGTTTAACGGGAGGTCAGTCTGAGTGCCGTCCGGTCTGTCCACTGTTGCCGTCACTATAGCGCCTATTATCGGGTCTTTGCCTTTACACAACTTACATGAGACAATCGGCGGACAATTATCTTCCGATGCTTTCAAAAACACTTGCAATCCAATGGCTTGAGCGCCGGTTGGGTTGCTCTCAATCACCAAATGAGCTCTAACTGTGCCCGACGTCTGTGCCGTCACTTTAATAGACCAGAGACCCGCTTGAGTCGAGTCCATGAATAGGACGCACTCTTTCAGATCTAATCGTTTAGTAATCTCTCCGCCGGTAGTGCTATAGACAGCACCCGACGGGCCGGTGATCTCCACCTCCAGATCGTTGATGATTTGGGAGCGGATATGAATTTGAGTGTTGCGTCCGATGTCGGCCTCAATGGGCACTCGAGTCTCATAACTGTTACGAGCGGTGCGAGTGTTGTCACCAATAATAACAATTTCATTGACAACAGTATGAGTGACCACTTCTGCCATCTCTTTAGAGGTGATAACCTCTTTCATCGCGGCCTCCATTACGCGGGCCATCATTTCGCGGCTCTCGGCGTCCACTCGACTCAAGTTAAACACTTGACCCCCCGTTTCGGCCGACAATCTCTCCAATCGGTGGTCAGCGCTCACACCGATTGCCAGACAATACACTTTACCTACAAATAAAGTGCACTAATACATGAATAGGACATAACATTTAACCATCATTTACTAACCTTCGCGCTAATCAATTGGGGTAAAACATAACCCACATAGATAGTCCTCAATACCGGTGCAATGCTCGCCATCAGTGGCCACAAACATCTTCGCGCCATTGGTGTCAACACTGGCGCGTCTGAACGCCGCCAACCCCTCTATAATGCCGGCCCCGATATCAGTGCCACCGCCGGCCCGCACGGGAACGGCCTTCACGAGACCGTCTCTAACCGCTGCGCCCGTGACCATGGTCACTTCGTGCACTGACCACGCATTCTCGTTAAACAACACAATGCCCACGTGGTTGTTATCACCAATACGGTTTATGAAGCGCAGGGTCTCCAAGTGCAGTGTCTCGCACTTGGCTCCGGACATACTGCCCGATACATCCAATACGAAGACTGTCCGCTCAGACATTGATTACTGCAAATAAATTGATAATAATTTAATTAAATTAATTAATTTTGATTTTATTATACAATTTGTTCAAACTTTACCCAATTGTGAGATTATGTATGAAATGAGTGATAATTTGTATTTGCCTTTAATATCAGCGATGAGTTTGTGGTCAACAATACATCAAATGTTAATTCACTCACAATTAAAATAACGTAAATATAATTTATATTGTTTTCAAAGTTTGCATTTTAAACACTAAATGCCTGTTATTTGACACGTGATTGTTTTGGTAACAAAAAAAGTGTCACAAAAACAACCAAAACTTACAGTAAAACACATTAAAAACTATGGATAAAAATGTTTTTTGTTGTGATATTCAATGACAAAAATAAATAGCTTCGACTGTATAACCAAATAGCATAAACCGGAAGTGAACTGTGACTACAACTACAGTGCACTCTAATTATTACAGTTATTGCACTGATAATTATTGACCATGGTCGCACAATCAAACATTAACAAGTGTACAAGTGATACTTTTGCAATAAATACAAATACATTAAGAGTTTCAATCAGATTATGATCTTATCAAGTGATTTATGAAATGCATTATTAATTCATAAATTATAATCTATGCTTACAATAGACACCGTATGTTAATAATGGGATTAAACTGTATTTGGTTTCACTTTCACAGTCAGTATTGCATTCATTGGATGTGAACTTATTTCTCAATATTTCCTATCATTTGCTCATTGAATGCATTATTGAGATGTGTTTTACCAAAATTGAAGTTCACTTTTGGATGTGTTTGAATTTCAATTAAAACATGTGAGTAAAACATTAAATAATTTTAATTTAATTACAAATGATTTTATAAACTTTGATTTAACTTATTATCAAAATTTAATAATTATTGAAATTATTAATTGTTCACGTGTTTTGTGATTAATTACTATGAGTCTCTATTAATCACCAGTTTTTGCCCATGCTCATACATTTATAAATACTATTCACAGTAACATTGATTTAGAAATTAATCTTAAATTTATTTTATTTTCATTACAATTAAGAAATCAATGTTTTGATGAAGACTTGAGTGAAAACTAATGGCAAACCAAAGAGTGGTTGAAGTGATTGAAAATCGCTTTCATTTAAGCAAACATTTGCTGACAAATGTATTGCAAAAACTAAATGACAAACAATTTGACAAAATAGCGATCGTATCAGTGATTGGACCGCATTTCGAGGGAAACACTTTCACTGCTAATCTCATATTAAATTACCTCCAGAGGGAGTGCACTGACCACAAAAAGCCCGATCAATGGCCTCATAATGTGGTACTCAGACAAAGCCACGGGTTCAACAATGTGGACAATTGTGCCGATGATTGTGGCCAACCAATGGGTCCGCGCGTTGAGATGTGGTCCGAGCCGTTCATTGTCCGCCGGGGCAATATCCAAGTGGCCGTACTGTTAGTGAATGTGCAAAACTTTGCGTACACTTTAGCCGATCTGATCCGAGGCGACACTTTACTCATTCACATGTTTCGACTCATATCAAGCATATCCACAATTGTGATCATCAATAGACCGGGTCTTAAAGTAAGCAAAAGTTACACTAATCATTTAATTAATATATAATTTTTAATCTAGTACACTATATTAATATTTTAATCACTTTTTTGTGATATAGCAACACCCGCTTGGATCTGGTCATAAATATATGATCCAGGTCAATTCATACATACACTTTCTCATCACATTAAACCAATGGCAATACGATAATTACGATACACTTATGGCCAACGTTTCGCAAATTACCGATCGATCAGATAATTATCGAAAACTTGACGAAGAGTTCAATAAAAACGGCACATGTTTAGTCTCGTGTCCCGCATATGATGTCAAAAACATTGATTGGAAAGTTGGGGAACTTTCCCGGGAATATGCGGACCAAATGAACACATTTATTTCCGTAGATGCGCTCGATTTTAATAATTACTTAAATGGCATCACATTTACGAACACCAATCACCTAATGAAAGTGATCTCGGGCAAAATTAATGCGTTAAATCATAATAACAGCGTAAACACCGGCCAAACACCTGAACCTCATGTGGTGCCCGACAAACATCCGGCGCCGACATCGCGTACACACCAATCAAGTACTGCAAGCATTGGGAAAATGGCATTTGACAGCAAATACAGAGATAATGCTAAAATTGGCGATCCATTGGTGAGAGAATTGATGGAAAATTTCACAGCTTTAACCCGAAATAGCCTTAACTATAAGTTTGAGTTTTGTATAAAACGTGAAAATTTTGACACAATATTTGAGGAGAACTCGAAGAAAGTAATGAATTTGTTTGACCGAAAATGGAGTGGACTCGAAATTTTCCGAAACGTGTATTTGCAAACTTTGCGCAAACTATTGGACGACCAGAAAGTGATTTACACTAACTTTGACTCAAAGTATAACTCATTTGTTGCCAATTGTCAACAACTCTGCGATTCGGACGAGTATTTCATAGACAGTAAGCAATTAAAACACTTTTTACTTACAGACGAAGAGATCAAAGAGTTGTTTAAAAATGATTACTATTTGTGCAAAAAATACAATGATTTGACCGAAAGTGCGATAAATAGTTATTCGCGAAAAATATCTGAAATTAATGTCAAAAACAAAGATAAGTGCGAAAAGTCTTCTAAAATGGCGATTGAATTGTATGACAAAGAAATGAGTGGTTTATTAAAGAGCGGGACATTTACTGACCAAACATTCCGTCAAAAATACAATACTGTTTGCGACACTATTTGGACGCGCGTTGCGGACACACTATCATTAAGACAATGCAAACCTAATGTTATTAATGTGTTCAAAGAGGGTTTTTTACGGTACACCAAATCTGTCGGCCATAATCATTTTGCAAAGAATCGACAGAATCACCAGTTTATTAAAACTGAAATAAACAATATACTTTTACAAAATCATAATAAATATTGCACACACTTTGCCGCTAAACTGTCCAAAACTGGTTTTATTGATAGCAAACAATTTGATAAAATGCATAAACAACTTTTGGATCAGTTATTGTCAGAACAGGAACAGCAAGTGATGGCTTATAAGACACGGTTTGCCGACACATATTTGGGGGAAATATGCGCTAAGAATCGGGAAAATATTGCGCTGAATATCAATCACACGAAAGCGAAATACTGGGCACTCAATGAAAGCAAACGAAACAAATCCCAAACATTTGTTATGGACTTTGAGTGCAAACCAATTGGTGTTTATTATAGCGACAAAAATGTGGGCACAGTTCACATACGCGACCCCCATCGGCACCGGACCTCCAATTGTGTTGCATTTGACGGCCAGAATATATTCCACGGGTGGGAAGCCGAGCAATACCTGAATGGCCGCCCGCTAGCCATCAAAGACATTATGGGAAGGGATGTAACCGACTATGAACTCAATGAATATAACTTTGATTTTGTGGACAAAATACACCCAAAAGTACGGCTCATTTTTAATAATGACATGAATTATGATTTATATATCGAGTCATTGTTTGCGTTACAAGTGTTGGGCGCGAAGAGAACGGTCGAAGAAGTGAATAACAATCACATGAAAAACATGGTGTTTATTGTGCCCACAAATTACACCATAAGGCAATTGAACGCATTTCAGGACGCGGCCACAATAGCCGGCATTGAACATGTTCAGTTTATCACCGAAATGTCTTCACTGGCTATTGACTTTGGTTTCAGTGAAGACCGCAATAACCGAAACACCGCTTTCCCGTACGTATTGATCATTTTGCTTACCGATAGTGGCTGTGAGTTAGCACTCGTTGAATACCCCGACAAAAGTGTTAAATACAAAGCGTACAAAAGTGTGGATATTGATTGGCCGGCAATTGGTGGCGACTTTAGTGCCGTTAACTACATATTCATCGATTGTTTGCAGCAATTGTTTAATAACATGAAGAAAGATCCGCAAAAACTGAAACAAAAGATATACGATTGCTTTATAATTGGTTAGTATTATTTTGTATGAGTCTATGAGTTAAATCATACGTAAATGTTTTTGTTGTTGTATTAGGCGAAAAATGGCGTGCACTTGGCATTGACTTCAAACACATCATGCACGATTATTGCACTGAACTAACTTACAATTACGACCGGTCAGCCATTATTAGAGGTGCCGTGTATTACAGCAAATACTACGAAACCAATGGCCATAACATACCCATCACTGGAGTGTTGTTTCGGGATATCATATTTCATATCAATTCGGGAGCGAAAGTTGAAACACTACTATCGGCTAACGTAGTGCCCAAACACTTCCCACGAGTTCAATATAAACTCAATCGTTCGGATCCCTTCCCGATGACTGTCCGCATTACCGAAGGCACCGATTCGGTGATCAAAGAGTATGTATTGATTGAATACCCAACCGGTTATAAACACAGTCAGACTCTCTTTCTGTACATTACTATCGCCAGCGATTTGGACGACAAAAACTGCATTGATTTAAAAATAGATTTTGAAATAGGGATGAATAATATGCGACATCTGACCAACAGTCAATCATTGGAACTCATATTCAATTTAACTCGTGGTCAAATCAGTGAGCAAACAGAGCTGATCGCAAACCTCATCAAACCGGTCAGTTTTGAACCCCATTGCTCACACGATAAGCCTATTGTCTATGACTGCGATTACTATTCAAACAACACAAACGCTATGACATTCACTACTAATGAGACTAAAAGTGATGAAATCAATAAACACACAAATGATCGCTCAAAACCAGTCACCAAAAAGAGGCCGGCAGTGACTGAGAATGAGCTGGGTACTTTTGTCATACCACTCATTCAAAAGTACACAGAGCTAATATCTCAACTGTCAAACACTTGCGATCCCGACACACAGGTCTACGCGAGTAAATCACGTGATTTACGTAATAGAGTTATGAAAGAGTTTGACACCGAGTTTGGCCGCAAAGAACCGAAACAACTGGTGGCCGACGAGAAACTGATACTAATCACACTTTTGGACAACAAAGACATGGAGTGTATGACTAAAGCGAAGGAAATGATGGCCAAAAGCGATAATAAATTACAAGAATTGATTGAATCGTGTGTCAAAGAGTTTAACGACAAAATGATTGCAGCCATCGATGAGGACATTGAGATGAATGGTGTCGATAATAACTACAACAGAATCTATTCTATGGTTAATATATCGATAACTAATTTGTTTAATAATCAGGCGATGAGTCTATCAAAGCGTGAAATTCAACGCAAAACATATTTGTCTCGTTTGACACAAAATATCTCGAATTGTGTCGAGAAATACAAGTATTTATACGATTGTAATGAAAGATATCAGCAAATATGTCGACAACAGATTGAGTTGAATAGAAATTTACCGGACGTAGTGCTCCGGGATATGCAACGAGCGGTAGATGTGCCCCACGTTTTGCTCTCAAATTCACAACTTATGGAAAGACTGCATAAAATGTATGACAAAAGTTACCGCTATTTCACCACTGCTTCGGACAAAATACGAGCCGATGAACAGCAATTGGCCGACAAAGCTATTGAGTTAATAGTTGTGAAATATCGGGAGTTGTTTCACCACATGTTAATGTCTAAATTTTATACCCCCTCCGATTTGAACGCCATTCACAACCAATTAGTGTCCGAATGCCTGGCATTGTTAAAGCAATCATGTGCTTTCACTACTGCCCAAAGTGACCTCGAGGACATGTGGCAGCAGAAATGTGAGGGTCAGTTAGGTGACGCTTTCACACACATCAAAGTGGATTATACGGCAAAATTGCGGCGATTATTCGCGTTATACACTAATATTGTGAAAGATATGCACCGAAAGTATTGCCATAATATCGACAGACATTTGGCCACAGATTTCGGAGATGAGGACCAATTGCAGCGTTTGCTCGAAACCGAGTTCATCGATATAATGAACACATTTGCCGCACGTATTGACCCGATTGGTCGGGAATGGGATCGGGATTTGGTCAGAGATATTGAGCAAAAGCATCGGCAGAGTCTCAATCGGGTACTGTTTGAACGAATGCGTGAGTATAGGATTGCCAACTCTCGCCGCGTGTCCTTTGTTTCCGACGCAATTCCAGCGCAGGCGTCGCCACCGGTCGCCAATCCGATCCAAGAGTTTAGCCAATTGTGCGCCGATATTAACGCTCGACTCGAGACGTGCGGTGCGATCGCCACCAAAAAGCGGAGGATTTCTCTAAAACTGGTTGAATGCCAGCAAATTGTGACAACAAATGCCGACCGATTGGACGAACAGAAACTGGATTTATTCCGATTAATCGATTTGTTTAAGTTGAGAGACAAACTTATCATCGGTTAAATTGGTTTACATGTTTGGTGTTTATTACATATCAGGTTTGTTTAGTTAAAAACTAATTTAGTTGTTATGTACTTAACGTTAATTGTTTTTCTGTTTGTCATTACAGATCCCAAACTAATACCTGATTTATTGGATTCGTAAACATTGTTTTTGAAGAATAATTTGTTTTTTGCTGTATTTCTTGTGTGCATTTTATTTTATTATAATTACTAAAATACTTTATAATTGAGTCGATTATAGAAATGATGTTTAAATTTCAAAACTAATTACTAATTACAAACTAAATTGATAACATTTCAATGTAATTTACTTTATTGAATTAATAATAAATGAGATTGTATTTGATTTCAATGATGTATGCATTTAATTAATCATTAAGCGTTAATGTATTTTGTTGTTGGAATTTTGAGAAGTTGATCATGGTAATACAGTATACTTGAGGAGTTAATCATGCAATTTTTTTGCCAATTAATTATCTATAATTAATTGCATTACAGGTTAGCATTTGCATCAAATAAAGGCAGCGATTCTGAACGGCACCGACACCCGCGGGTACTGGACATCACGGCAAACATGGTTTTTATTAAACTTATTGCTTAAATTTATATTGAATACAAATTGCTATTAAATAACAGATTTTAATTAACATTTTTCATAAATATAAATCACTGCTGTATTTGTGATTTATGATAACATGATTAATTGTACACTATTTTTCATTCAAATATAAATGTCAATTTAACTTCTGGCTTAAGTTTTAAGAGTTAACAACTATTTAGTGTACGTGTAATTGAATTTCACGTTTACATGCATTTCAATGTAGAGTTTGGTTTAGTTTTCATGTATTGAGTGTTTTTGTGTTACATTTTTGGTACCAAAATAATCACGTGTTATATAACAGGCATTTAGTGTTTGAATGCAAACATTGAAAGCATTGAAAACTAAATTTATTTAACTGTCAGTGAATTATACATTTGATGTATTGTTGACCACAAACTCATCGCTTATATTAAAGGCAAATACAAATCATCACTCATTTCATAAATAATCTCATAATTGCTTAAAGTTGTAGCAAATTGTATAACAAATTCATAATTAATTACATTAATCTTTATAACTGTTTTTGGGGTTTAATTAAATTAATTTATTATCAATTTATTTACAGTAAACAATGTCTGAGCGGACAGTCTTTGTATTGGATGTGTCGAGTAGTATGAGAGGACCAAAGTCTCAGACCCTGTACTCGGAGACCATGCGCTGTATTAACCGCATAACTGATTGTAATTACGCGGGTATTGTGTTGTTTGATAAAACAGCATGGTCTACGCATGAAGTGACCATGATCACAGATCAGTCCGTGAGGCAAAATATTGTGGCCGCCGTTCCCGTCAATTACAAGGGTTGGGGCACTGATATCAGGGCCGGTATTATAGAGGGGTTGGCAGCGCTCAGACGCGCCCGACTGCGGACCAAAGGGGCGAAGATATTTGTGGCCACAGATGGCGGCCATTGGTGTGGGAATGACGACTATGTGGGCGATGTGTTGCCCGATCTGATCAAGTCAAAGGTTTGTTTGTTTAATGATTTATGATCATGGTAATTAAAATTTACAATTTAGGTCAAAGTGTATTGTCTGGCAATCGGTGTGAGCGCTGATCACGATCTGGAAAAGCTCGCGACAGCGACCGGGGGTCAGGTCTTCAACTTGAGTCGAGTGGACGCCGAGAGCCGCGAAATGATGGCCCGAGTAATGGAGGCCGCGATGAAAGAAGTCATTACCAGTAAAGAGATGGCAGAAGTGGTCACTCATACTGTGATTAACGAAGTTGTGGTCATAAATGGCAACACATATGAGATACGAGTGCCCATTGAGGCCGACATCGGACGCAACACTCAAATCCATGTCCGTTCCGAAGCCATCAACGATATTGAGGTGGAGATCACCGGCCCGTCGGGTGCTGTCTATAGCACTACCGGCGGAGAGATTACGAGACGGTTGGATCTTAAAGAGTGTGTGCTATTCATGGACTCGACTGAATCGGGTCTCTGGGCTATTAAAGTGAAGACACAAACATCGGGCACAGTTAGGGTCCATTTAGTGGTTGAAAGCAACCCCACCGGCACTCAAGCCATTGGTCTGCAGGTGTTTTTGCGCGCACCGGAAAGCAAATGTCCGCCAATAATCTCTTGTAAACTGTGTAAAGGCAATGACCCGATTGTGGGCGCTATAGTGACGGCAACAGTGGACAGACCGGGCGGTACTCACACTGACCTCCCGTTAAACTTGTATCATAACGACGGCTATTATTACGCTTACTTTACCGACTATAGCGGCGCCGGTAGATATAATGTTAGCGCACTGGCCGTTAATGATGGGAATAATACGACTTACCATGGTAATTATAGATAAATTGAAATCAGATCAACTAATTCAATTAATTTTTTACCTAAACACAGGCGCACCCGTCGGGCAATTCCGTCGCCAACGAGTGGCCAACAGTTTCCAAGTGATGGCCGACTTTATGCCCACTCAATCGCCCGCTTGTGATCACTTTTTGCAATTGTTACTTAGCAACCAATTCGGGTCAATGCGTATAAACAATATCACCCAATCGGGAGCCCCAACCGGTCCGGCGACCAAAAGGTCGGGTTCTTCGCTGGACAGCAAAGTAGTGCTATTGAGCTCTAAAATGAAATCACTTAAGAGTCGTTTGGCGTCTAATTATTATCGCACAAAATTGGCTGTCAATGGACTACAGGTGTCCGCGAGTGAGAAGTCAGGTCTTATGAATCGGTTGTCTACTTTTGATCGCTTTTTAACCTCAGTTCGCGAGACTTCTACTGAAGAGATCGATGGATATCAACACACTTTGGATGACGTGAACGATAAGATTCGGGCCCTAAGACAACTTCATTGAGTTATCTGTCAAATGATTATTTGTTGATCTATTCTTACGATTGCTTTGTTTATTATTTAATTATATGTTTAATTTTATTTCAATTACAATATCAAACTTATAAGTTATAACTCTTGTATTAATAACATGTATTACTTTCGTATTTGAATTAATCATTTTAAAACTTTTATTTGTATAATTATTAAAACGTTAATTATTTTTCAATTAGACTATAATTTTTAATCATAATAATAAATTTGTTTTATTAAACTTATTAATTGTATTGAATATATAAATAGCTATTTATTTAGCATTTTTCATAAATTTTAATCACTTATACTTTTATTAATTATTAATTGTATATTAATTTTCATTTATTCCATACACTTTAATAATAAACAAATTTTTGCTAAATTTAGCTTATCAAGAAATTAAAAACAATTCACTATTAATCAAACATAGTTTTGATATATTCTGTATTTTTAATTGATTATTGATTAAAACTTTTATGTTATTTCACTTTTATATAATTAAATTAAAATTCCTTATTTATTAAAGATCTCAATATTAGATAATATTAATAATGAATGAATACATTTCACTAAATTTTATGATACTTTCAAACATGTTGCCAACGTTTGGGAACATTCTGGATGTTGCCGCACATCTAGAACAGTGCTGCAAACATGTTCCAAAACTATGTTCCACACCTACAGTATGTTCCAGATGTATGATCTAGGCTTATGTTCTAAACATCGTTCCATGTCATTAATTAAACCATTTAACAAATAATTTGTTAAATTAAAATGCATTTTAAATATAATTATAAATAATAACTAAAGGCTACTTATAAAATACATTTATAAATAATGATTGTCATTAAAAATTATACACAAAATACAACATAGATGAATAAATGAATGTAAATAAGATTTTTAATTATGGTGAGATCAGAAATTTAGAAATGCTGCTTAAATTAAAAAACTAATTACAGATTAAACTGGTAACATTTACTGTAATTTACTTTATTAAATTAATAATAAATGATGATTGTATTCGATTTCAATGTATGTGTTTACTTAATAATAAACCTAATAGCTTATGTTTTGTTGTTGTAATTTTGAGAAGTTGATCATGTGAATATAGTTTAAATTTTTGCCAATTAAATATCTCTATAATTATTATTATTAATTATCAATAATTAATTGCATTACAGGTTAGCATTTCCATCAAACAAAGGCAGCGATTCTGAACGGCACCGACACCTGTGGGTACTGGACGTCACGGCAAACATTGTTTTTATTAAACTTATTGCTTGTATTTAATAAACTAATTGATGTTAAATAGCAAATTTTTATTAGCATTTTTGATAAATATAAATTACTGTTGTATTTGTTATTTATGATAACAGAATTAATTGTACCATATTTTTCATGAAATAAATACTAATTTTTGTGCATTAATTAAAAACAATTTTATTTAAAATAATCATTCATAATATATTATTAGGGTTAGGTTTTTATGAGAACAGATTTAAACATGTGATTTCCATCCAAAAATACAATGTTTTAATTATAAAGTAATTTATTACTAATTATAACATATTAATTAAATTGTATTATAATTATCAGTGAACACAAAATACGGCAAATTATTTATCAATAATAAATTTATAATGTTTAAGAATAAAATAATTTGAGCATTAATTTCTTATGTAATTCTAATCTAATGTAATTAACATTAACATACAATATGGCAATTAAAAAGTAATTTACTAATTATTATATAAATGTAAATTTGAATTACAATATTAATTCTCACAAAACAAAACAAAATATTTGGTAATAATAATTTCAATAGTGTATAAAAACACAAACATTTGGTCATAAATTTCACATTTAGTTTGATATCTGAAATGAAAACGTAACATAAAATAATTACACAATTTATCTAACATTTTAATCTCATAAAATACAAACCTGATTAAAATTGAACACACAATGGATTACCAAATTAGATGATCAGTTATTGCCACTTAAAAAATAATTATAATTTCTATAATGTTTAGGAAATAAAACAATTTACGCATAAATTTCACAATAGATTTGGATCTGTAATGAAAACAAATAAACAAATTAATTAAATAAATAAATAACATTTCACATAATATTATATCTAAACAAACCTGGTAAAAACTAATCACACAAATTATAAGATTTAGTTCGTGATCAATTTGTCTCTCAAATTATAGCCATCAATCAATCGAAATAATTGCTGTTTTTGTTCCTCCAATTTCTTGGCATCAGTTTTCGGACATTTCTCGAAATCCAAGAGTTTTTCGGCAATTTTCCGCCTTTTGGTGGCGATCGCACCGCACGTCTCGAGTCGGGCCTTAATACCGGCGCACAATTGGCTAAACTCTTGAACCGCATCGACAGCGACAGCCGCCGCCATCGGTGAGGTTGATATCGCATTGGGAACTGAGACCACTCTAGACGGTGATGGGGTTAGTGGTGCTGAGCTGACAGATTGAACTCTCGCGGGCATCGATTGGTTCCGATTGGTGGCCATTATATTGGGCACGTGTCGGACGGCCAAAACACCCAATTCACGTAATATAATGCGCTGACCGGTAATACACTGTTCGCTAAGACCGTACATCTCAGGCCTAACCTCCAAATCGTCGCCTAAATATGAGGCTTTCAAAGTGGCGCTCAAACAGACGGCGTGAGTGTCCCGATCCATGCGGTACTCGATGACCAGCGCTGTCCATCCTGTCCACCGGGTTTGGCGCCATAACGGGATCGACTCGTTCACCACAAATGTCTTCACTATCGTCTCGCCTTCCATGAGATACAACTCTATGGGAAAACTATAATCACTCAGATCTACAGAAAAGTGTTGGGCCATCACATAGCGATCGACGGCCGCGTTCATAGGGATCAGCTCTTTATGCAAATGTTTATCGCTGTGCGAAAGTAACATCAGTTTGATGTCTGCCCTCACAATCTCCCGCACATCTATAGTGTCCAACTTTTTGTCCAACATTTGCCCGTAATATACGGTTCCCTTCACTATCATGTCTATGGGGTCGCACTTATAGAGTATGTTATGTTTGCCGGCAAAGTCAGAGGTAAGTGTGGCCGCAATCAGTGCCTTAAACTCGGGTATTTTGTCCGAATGGCCGATCACTAACACCCGGTTCAGATCGCGTTCGGTCATTTGGCTTAAAGTCATAGTGTTTGTTATGTAGTTTATGAGGCGTGACTCGCGATGACCATGGTCAAATATACTCAGATCGCCGACCACACCATAGCACACGTGTTCAATCAAACCGTTGCTCAATTTAATGAGTCCGCACTCGCAGTGATTGCCATGAATTGCAAATATCAATACAATCTCTTCGGTCAACAGTTTGCGGTGAGAGTCGATAACGTAAGCGATGGCTGCGGCAGTCATTTCGTTGACAATATGCACATAGTTTTGGTGAATGCTTGCGATTAGGCCCACGTCTAACATCGCGCGCCTTTGTTTACTGTTATAACCGGTGGGCAAACACAATACAACTCTCTGTGCGCGTGTTTTCATCGCAGTCTCGGCCCTGTGTTTAATGTCGAGCACCTGTAGCGCCACCAGTGTCTCAACGTTCATACCGTTGTCATTACCCTGAAGTACGGGAGACTGTACACAGACTTTGGGCGGTGAGTCTGAACACCACTCAAAACGGTATCGTTTGAGTTCTTCTGCGTCCACCCGATCCCTACCCAACAGGTCTTTCACATCAAACTCGGTGTCCAAACTGTTTGCTCTCAAATACTGTTTGGCTTTTCTCCCGAACAGAAATTTACCGCTAAATGTAATGCAATTGTCGACATAGTGTTTGCTGTGAGTATTATCAGCGCTGTCCTCACCGTTGGGCACAAACTGTACGGTTCGGTCAAAATAGGCGCCCACTAACAGACGGCGCCCAAAATATATGCCCATTGTTGGAGTGATGGTTGCGTTGCGAAAGTTGGTCAGTCTGTATTCACGCATTTGTTCACGAATGGCCAGATCGAGACTTTGCCGATGCTTTCGCGCGATATCTGTCATCAAACACCGGTCCCATTCTCGTCCAATCGGGTCCATACGTTCGGTAAATGCATTCATTATATCGTTTGACTCGCTGTCGAGCAAACCTTGCAATTTGTCGACATCTATGTAATCGTAGGCCAAATGTTTGCGCACATTCTGGCAATACTTGCGGTGCATATCTCTCACGATATTAGTGTTGAATGTGAATAATCGCCGCAATTTTGCCGTATAATCCACTTTAATGTGCGCAAAGGCGTCGCTTAATTGATCCGCACACTTTCGGACACATTTGTCCTCGAGGTCACTTTGGCGCGAAGTGAACGCACATGATATTTCTAACAATACCAGGCATTTGGGCACTAATTTGTTGTGAATGGCGTTCAAATCGGTTGGGATATAAAACTTGGACATTAACACGTGGTGAAACAACTCCCGATATTTCACAACTGTTAACTCAATGGCATTGTTGGCCAATTCTTGTTCACCAGAGCGTATTTTGCTTAACTCAGTGGTGAAATAACGATAACTTTTATCATACATTTGGCGCAATTTGTCCATAAGTTGTGAATTTGTGGACAAAACGGTGGGCACCACTACTTCTCGTTGCATATCCCGTAGCTCTCCATCGGGAAAGTCTCGATTGACACCTACTCTGTGTCCACACTTTTTCTGATAACTTTCATTACAATCGTATAAATACTTGTATTTATCGCTAAATTGGGAGATATTTTGTGTCAAACGAGAAGAATATAATTTCCTTTGACTTTCGCGCTTTGAGATACTGATCGCCCGATTATTAAACAAATTATTTATCAATTTATTGACATTAGTTTGGATTTTGTTGTAATTATTATCCACACCATTCATCTCAATGTCCTGATCGATGGCTGCAATCATTTTGTCGTTAAATTCTTTGACACACGACTCAACCAATTCTTGTAATTTATTAGCGCTTTTGGCCACCATTTCCGTTGCAATAGCCGTGCATTCAATGTTTTTGGTTTCTAACCGTGCGATTAGTATCAGTCTCTGGTCGGCCACTAAAAGTGTCGGTTCTTTGCGGCCAAACTCGGTGTCAAACTTTTTCACAATAGTGTTACGCATATCACGCGATTTTGCCCGATAGGCAGGTGTGTCCGGATCGCACGTGTCTGGCAGTTGCGATATTAGTTCTGAGTAGTTTTCAATGAGTTTTGTGACAAAAGCACCCAGCTCACTCTCAGTCACTGTTGGCTTCTTTTTGGTGACTGCTTTTGATCGCTCATTTGTCAGCTTATTGTTATCATTAGGTTTAGCCTCACTAGTAGTCAATGTAATAATGTTTGTGTTGTTTGAATAGTAATCGCAGTCATAGACAATAGGCATATCGTGTGAGCAATGGGTGTCCAAACTGACCGGTTTGATGAGGTTTGCGATCAGCTCTGTTTGTTCACTGATCTGACCCTGGGTCAATCTGAATATGCTTTGCAATGACTGAGCCTTTTCCAATTGTCTCATGTTATTCATCCCTATTTCAAAATTTATATTAAAATCAATACAGTTTTTGTCGTTCAAATCGTTGGCAATAGTGATGTATAGATGGAGAGTTTGACTGTGTTTATAACCGGTGGGGTATTCACTCAACACATACTCTTTGATCACCGAATCGGTGCCTTCGGTGATGCGGACAGTCATCGGGAACTGATCCGATCGATCGAGTCTATATTGAACAACAGGGAAGTGTTTGGGCACTTTGTTTGCCGGTAATAGTATTTCACTTCTTATTCGCGAACTGTTATGACATACGATATCCCGAAACAACACTCCAGTGATGGGTATGTTATGGCCATTGGTTTCAAAGTATTGCTTGTAATACACGGCACCCATCATAATAGCTGTTCCATCATGGTTGAATGTTAATTCGGAGCAATAATCGTCCATGATGTTTGGGAAGTCAATGCCGTGTGTCTGCCATTGTTCGCCTAACAAAATGATAAAACAATTTTCAAATTATATGAAATTATTTATAAATAATTGTATAATTTAATTATAATACTAACCAACTATAAAGCAATCGTATACTTTTTCTTTCACTTTACTCTTGTCCAGTGTTTTAAAGTTGTCAAACAATTGCTGCAAACTATCGATAAATATCTCATTAATGGCACTAAAGTCTGTCCCCATTGGCGGCCAATCGATGTCCACCAGTTCGTAGGCCTTGTATTTAACACTTATGTCTTGGTATTCAACGAGTGCTAACTCACAGCCACTATCGGTAAGCAAAATGAACAAAACATACGGGTAACCAATGGCTCGGTTATGGCGTTTATCATTAAATCCAAAATCAATGGCCAGTGAAGACATTTGAGTGATAAACTGAACATGTTCAATTCCGGCCAATCTCGCAGCGTCCTGAAACGCATTCAATTGTCTTATGGTGTATTGTGTGGGCACAACAAATACCATGTTTTTCACGTAATTATCGTATACTTCTTCGGCGTCTGTTTTCGCGCCCAAAATTTGTAACGCAATCAATGACTCGATATTTAAATCATAACTCATGTTATATTCAAAGGCGAGCCGTACTTTTGGGTGCCGTTTGTCCACAAACTCAAAGGGATAGCGATTGAGCTCATCGTCCGTCACATCCCTTCCCATCAGGTCTTTGATGTCAAACGTGTGTCCATTCAGGTGTTGCTCAGCTTCCCTTCCAAATAGTAAGCGCTGGCCATCAAATGCAATACAATTGGAGGTCCGGTGTCGGCGGGGGTCGCGTACGTAAACGGTGTCCACATCTTTGTCGCTATAATAAACACCAATTGGTTTGCTCTCAAAGTCCATAATAAGTGTTTGTGATTTGTTTCGTTTGCTTTCATTCATTGTCCAGTATTTCGCTTTCGAGTGATTGACATTCAGTGCAATACTTTCCCGATTCTTATCACATATTTCCCGCAAATATGTGTCGGCAAACCGTGTCTTATAAGTAGTCATCACTTGCTGTTCCTGTTCTGTCAATAACTGATCCAACAGTTGTTTATGCATTTCATCAAATTGTTTGCTCTCAATATAACCGCTTTTGGACAGTTTGGCGGCAGTTTGTGTGCAGTATTTGAGGTACGATTGCAAAAGTATATTGTTTATTTCAGTTTTAATACACTGATGGTTTTGCCGATTCTGGCCTAAATGACCATGTTTGGTTGTGTCGGTATAACTGCGAAATGTCTCTTTCCAAGAGCTGACGACATTAGGCTTGCATTGCTTTAACGATAGTCTCTCAACAACTTGTGTCCAAATATTACCGCAAATATTGTTATGTTTATCGATAAACATTTGGTCATTAAATGTCCCGCTTTTTAATAAACCATTCATTTCTTTGTCGTACATTTCAATAGCCATTTGTGAAGATTTTTCGCATTTTTCTTTGTTTTTAGAGTTAATTTCAGTTATTTTTTGCGAATAAATATTTACCGCACTTTCAGTCAAATCGTTGTATTTTTTCAACAAATAGTAATCATTTTTAAACAACTCTTTGATTGTGTATTCCGGGAGTAAAAAGTGTTTCAATTGTCTCTCTTCTATGAAATACTCGTCCGATTCGCAGAGTTGTTGACATTTGTTCACAAATTCGTTATAATTTGAGTCAAAGTTAGCGTAAATCACTTTCTGGTCGTCCAATAGTTTACGCAAATTTTGCGAATACACGTCCCGTAAAGTCTTGAGTCCACCCGATCTTCGGTCAAACAAATCCATTACTCTCTTCGAGTTCTCCGCAAATATTTTGTCAAAATTTTCACGTTTTATATTAAACTCAAACTCATAGTTAAGACTATTTTGCATTAATTTCGTGAAATTTTCGACCAATTCTCTCACCAATTGATCGCCAATTATTGTCTCCAATTTGTATTTGCTGTCAAATGCCATTTTCCCGATACTTAGATCCATATCCAATGAATGCGAGACTTTTACCGGGAATTTCTCGTTAAATTTCTCACTCAAGGCGTCCACGCATTTAGCGGGCGATGAATTGCGGACCGTTTGCAACGCCTCTATCGATACGCCAATCATGTCGTCTATTTGTTGGCAAACATCGGGTTTACATCTATTCAACAGTTGTTTGTCAAATACGATCATCACTTCCTCATCATTCACGGAGCCGATAGTGTCACCGATGGCAGTGTGGGTGTGGTTAACGCCCAGCGGCGGCCAGTCGTGTGCGGTCCTGTTGAACGGCGATTGTCCGCTCATTCGGGGCGTTTGCGGCCGATTTATTAAGATTCCCGGTGCGGGTGTCGGCTGTTTAATCGGCACCGCAAGCGTTGGGCTACTGTTTACGCTGTTATTATGATTTAACTCATGAATTTTGCCCTCGATCGCTTTCATTAACTGATCGGTGTTAGTAAATGTAATGCCACTCAACACATTACTAACATCGAGCGCATCTACGCGTATAAATGTTTTCATTTGATTCCCATATTCCCGGGGAAGATCGCCAACTTTCCAGTCAATGTTCTTGACATCATATGTGGGACACGAGACTAAATACGTGCTGTTATTATTGAACTCTTGGTTAAGTTTTCGGTAATTTTCTGATCGATCGGTAATTTGCGTAACGTTGGCCATAAGTGTCTCGTAATTATCGCATTCCCATTGGTTTAATGTGGTCAGAAAGTGTTGGTACGAATTGACCGGGATCATATATCTATGACCAGATCCATGTGGGTGTTGCTATATCACAAAAAATGATTAGTGTTTAAATAGTGTAATCGATTAATAATTAATGTATTAATCATTAAACTATACGTACTTTAAGACCCGGATTATTGATGATCACAATTGTGGATACGCTTGATATGAGTCGAAACATGTGAATTAGTGAAGAGTCGCCTCGGATCAGATCGGGAAAAGTGTACGCAAAGTTCTGCACATTCACTAACAGTAGGGCCACTCGGGTATTACCCCGACGGACAATGAACGGCTCGGACCACATCTCAACGCCAGGACATATTTGTTGACCACTACCATCGGGGTAAGGGTCCAAACTTTTAAACACGGTACTTTGCCTGAGAATGACATCGTGCGGCCACAGATCGGGGTCATTGCGGTCACTGTTTTGCCGCTGCAGATAATTTAGTATGAGATTAGCAGTGAAAGTGTTTCCCTCGAAATGCGGTCCAATCACTGATACGATCGCTATTTTATCGCAATGTTTGTCATTTAGTTTTTGCAATACATTTGTCACAAAACATTTTCTCAATGCAAAGAATGCATTGAATGAAACGATCCTATCGTTTGCCATTAGTTTTCAGTCAAGTCTTCAACAAAGCATTGATTTCCTGAAAGTAATAAAAATAAGATAAACATTACATTAATTTATAAATTATGATTAATAATCACTATTTATAACGACTTTAATCATTATAACAATTAGTTTTAATTGTAAACTTAATCAAAAACATCATAACTAAACGTTTTTATAAACGTTAAATTAAATAATTATTAATTACAAACATTTATTATTCCTTAATTTAATCATGTTAAAATATGAGTAAATGATAACAAAAATGATTTATTAGCTAATTAAAATTAATTGTAGTTTTACTCACATGTTTTAATTGACATTTAAAACAAAACAAAAAAACCATTGAAAAGTAAACTTCAATTTTGTAAAACACATCTCATTATTGCATTCAATGAGCAAATGATAGGAAATATTGGGAAATAAGTTCACATCCAATGAATGCAATACTGACTGTGAAAGTGAAACCAAATACAGTGTAATCCCGTTATTAAACATATCATTTAATAAGATTTTAATCGTATTTAATCCTCAATTGTAATGCATTTTCATTGATTGCAAACTTAAATTTATCAAATGAATGGCTGCTAATATCAAATATAGTAATCATAGTCAAATATTTTAATTGATAGTGAGAGTGGACTGTATTGTATTGCAGTAAAACATAAATGTCAATTTAACTTCCGGTTTAAGTTTTAAGAGTTAAAGCTATTTAGTGTACGTGTAATTGAATTTCACGTTTACATGCATTTCAATGTAAAGTTTGGTTTGGTTTTGATGTATTGAGTGTTTTTGTGTCACATTTTTGGTACCAAAATAATCACGTGTTATATAACAGGCATTTAGTGTTTGAATGCAAACATTGAAAGCATTGAAAACTAAATTTATTTAACTGTCAGTGAATTATACATTTGATGTATTGTTGACCACAAACTCATCGCTTATATTAAAGGCAAATACAAATTATCACTCATTTCATACATCATCTGATAATTGGGTAAAGTTTTAACAAATTGTATAATAAAATCATATTTATTTAATTAAATTTAATTATTATTAATGTATTTGCAGTAATCAATGTCTGAGCGAACAGTGTTTGTATTGGATGTGTCGGGCAGTATGTCGGGCGCGAAGTGCCAGACCCTGCACTTAGAGACCGTGCGCTTCATTAACCGCATCAGTGATGGTAATTATGTGGGTATTGTGTTGTTTGACGATAAAGTGTGGACCGCGTATGCGGTGACCAAAATCACGGGTCCGTCCGTTAGGCAAAGCATTGTCGCTGCCGTTCCAGCGATGGCCAGAGGGAGCACTGATATCAGCGGCGGACTTATGGTGGGGTTGAAGGCGTTGAGACGCGCCGGTGTGGACACCAATGGCGCGAAGATATTTCTGGCCACCGATGGCGGCCATAATAAGGGTAAACTCGACTATGTGGGCCGTGTTTTACCACATTTGATTAGTGCAAAGGTTTGTTAGTAAGTTATATTTATAAAATGCTAAATCAATTTGAAAATTCAGGTAAAAGTGTATTGTTTGGCAATCGGTGTGAGCGCTGATCACAATCTGGAAAAGCTGTCGACAGCAACCGGGGGTCAGGTCTTCAACTTGAGTCGAGTGGACGCCGAGAGCCGCGAAATGATGGCCCGCGTAATGGAGGCCGCGATGAAAGAAGTCATTACGAGTAAAGAGATGGCAGAAGTGGTCACTCATACTGTTGTCAACGAAGTTGTTCTCATTGGTGACAACACCCGCACCGGTCGTAACAGTTATGAGACTCGAGTGCCCATTGAGGCCGACATCGGACGCAACACTCAAATCCATGTCCGCTCCGAAGCCATCAATGATCTCGTGGTGGAGATCATCGGCCCGTCGGTTGCTGTCTATAGCACTACCGGCGGAGAGATTACCAAACGATTGGATCTGAAAGAGTGCGTCCTTTTCATGGACTCGACTGAATCGGGTCTTTGGGCTATTAAATTGAAGACACAAACATCGGGCACAGTTAGGGCCCATTTAGTGGTTGAAAGCAATCCCACCGGCGCTCAAGCCATTGAATTGCAAGTGTTTTTACGCGCATCTGAAGGCAACTGTCCACCTATAATCTCTTGTAAACTATGTAAAGGCGATGACCCGATTGTGGGCGCTATAGTGACCGCAACAGTGGACAGACCGGGCGGTACTCAGATTGACCTCCCGTTAAACATGTATCACAAAGAGGGCTACTATTACACCATTTTTACCGACTATAGCGGCGCCGGCAGGTATAATGTTAGCGCACTGGCTGTTAACGATGAGAATAATACGACTTACCATGGTAATTATAGATAAATTGAAATCAATCAATTAATTCAATTAATTTTTACCTAAACACAGGCGCACCCGTCGGGCAATTCCGTCGCCAACGGGTGGCCAACAGTTTTCAAGTGATGGCCGACTCTATGCCCACTCAGTCGCCCTTTTGTGACCACTTTTCCCAACTGTTGCTTAGCAACCAATTCGGGTCAATGCGTATAAGCAATAGCACCCAAACGGGAGCACCAGTGGGTCCGGCGCCCAAAAGGTCGGGTTCTTCGCTGGACAGCAAAGTAGTTCTCTTGAGCTCTAAAATGCGATCACTTAAGAGTCGTTTGGCGTCTAATTATTATCGCACAAAAGTGGCGGTCAATGGACTACAGGTGTCCGCGAGTGAGAAGTCGGGTCTCATGAATCGGTTGACCACTTTTGAACGCTTCTTAACCTCTGTTCGCGAGACTTCCACCGAAGAGATCGATAGATATCAACACACTTTGGATGAAGTGAACGATGAGGTTATGGCCCGAAAACATATGATAAAGGATTTAGTTTAAAGGTCTATAAATTGTTGTATTAAATGTCTGTAATTCACATTTTAAATTATTATTTACTTTAATATTTTACTTAAAAAACTTTATTTTAATAAATAACTCGTAATAAAATTATATGTTAAATTGTAATAACAGCTATAATATTACGAATAAATGTAATTGATTTAAATTGAATCGTTTTAATTAAGCACAAAAATGTTGAGTATTTATTAAAATGACAAAAGGTTTACAAACAGTGATTTATATTTATAAATGCTAACTGTAAACAAAATATTGTATTCAATACAAGCATAAGTTTAATAAATCAGATTCATTATGATTAAAAATAATTAATACAATATTAAAGTGACAAATAATAAACGATTAATAATTAGTTATTTTAAAGAGTAATTAAACATTCAAATTATGTGATTCAAAATCAAGTTAACCACAGTTTAATACAAGAAAAAGATATATAAGGTTAACAAAAACAAAAACAATATTAATAATGAAAAAATTCAATAAACAATTAGTGGCGGCGACGGAGCAGCTCCTCCATCGACAGGCGGCCCTTGTATTCGGTCACCTCATACTCGTGGACCGCGCGTTGGGAGAGCACAACAGCCCTGACCTTAAGTATGCCCTCGTCGTTGACGCAAAACATTACGGACACATCCTGTTTGCCCGCAGCCTCTGGTGGTATACCCGTCACCACATATTTGCCCAAAAAGGTGTTATTAGTGGCCACTGAGTCCTCGCCCTCATACACCTCCACCTCAATCTCGGTTTGATTGTCGCATACAGTGGTGTATACTTTGGTGCGGGGAATGCCGTCCACCCGGGACTGGGCCGGTATGATAGCGCTCATCACATTGCCCACAGATTTCACGCCCAGAGTGTGTGGTGTGACGTCCTGTACCCGCAAGTGGCGGAGCTTTTGGGCCTGAGTTCCGTTCAGTATTGCAGCCTTTTTAATGAAAATAATGTAATTAATTAACAAAATATTCTAAACATATGATAAAAACAAGGAAACAATAGTCACCTGCAGTGCCGCGCCCTCAGCCACGGCCAGCATCGGGTTCACCGACTGCGACGGTTGGCGTCCATTGAAATACCGCCTAATCATATCCTTAACGTACGGGATATAAGTAGAGCCGCCGACCAGTACTATGTCGTCCACTTCGTCGGCCGACATACCGGCGCCGCCGTTAACACCGGCCAGAGTACGGGTCACGCACTCCATCGTGCGGTCAAACAGATCCTTATTCAGTAACTCGAAGTCGGCTCGAGTCAACTCGACGGACAAATCGCGGCCGTCGGCGATGTTGTCCACAGCGATGGTAGCGGCGGTCGCTTCGGACAGTCGCCACTTCTCGCGCTCGCATCGGTCCCGCAGGGCTCTCATCGCCCGCTCGCCTTCAACCGATTGGCGGTCCACCACAACACCCGTCTGTGAGTGAAACTCACTCAAACAGTGCTCAATGATATTGTGGTCAATATCCTCGCCGCCCAAGTGATTGTCGCCGCCGACTGCCAGCACTTCCACTCGACCCATAGACAGGCGCAAAATGGCCACATCGAAAGTGCCGCCACCAAAGTCGTAAATCAACACGTTCCTATTAATTTAAGTGATTTCAATTTAATTATATTTCACATTTAAATCATTAAAGTTAATTGAAAAAGCTTAAAACACAAACCTGCTGCTCGTGTCGTCAAAGCGGTCCAATTTGTAGGCCAGTGCGGCAGCCGTGGGCTCATTAATGATGGTCAATATGTTAAGACCAGCCATAATACCGGCCGCTTTGGTCGCCTCGCGCTGGGCGTCCGTGAAATACGCGGGAACTGTAATGACAGCGTCCACTACGGGGTGGCCTAAGTCACGTTCGGCCACTTCTTTCATTTTGCGCAACACATCCGCCGACACCTCTTCGGGCAACAGTTGCCGCGACTGTCCGTCCACTTCCACCTCAACGCCGGTCTCGCCGTCCATATCCACGACATCAAAGGGCCAGTACTGGGTCTCGTGAGTGACGTCCGGGTCGTCAAACTTGCGGCCAATCAAACGTTTTGCCGAATAGATTATATTCTGGCGATTGGCCAAAAGATTATCCTTCGCCTCTTCGCCCACCACTACCTCTCCGTTGTCTCTGTACTCCACACAACTGGGGGTCACATCGCTGTTACGAGTGGTGTTAATATTACGGCAAACTTTAATACGGCCCGTATTGGCGGACCGGCCGGGCATATAGTAGGCCACACAGCTATTGGTTGTGCCCAAATCAATACCAATGGCCGGCACTGTCGGCGCGTTCTTGTTGTTTTCATCGACAACCTTATCGTAGGCCAGCTTTAGCTTAGAGTCCATCAGCTGTTTGAACTCATCCATGGCAATATGACCACGGTCATTTGTGAACCTGGCCACAGCGCCGGTCACTAGTCCCTCGTGAATCGTATCCAACCGGTCGGGCCGTATGTACGGCCGATCGCCGTATTCCTTCTCAATCTCGCGATTATACCACTGCATCGCTCGGTCAACGAGTGCCGCCTTCGCCCGCCGGCGGTCTTCCACCTCTTCGGCGAACACGTCTTGCATTTCCCGTTCAGTTGTGTCGAACCGGGCGTTGAGGTCCACGAGATCGAGACGGTGGCCATATTTCGCTGTGTTTTCCGACACAATGCGTGTGCGGATGAGTCGACTCTCGTCCAGATAGCGGCGCTTATCCTCAGTGTCGGTGCATTGGATCCACGCGTCCAACGCTTCTTCGTATAGTTTGTTCAAATTGTTGATGACAGTAGTCATGGCAGTGGTGTCCTGAAACGTTCGCATACGGTTGAACTCACTATAGCTCTTGTATTTGTCACTCAAGTGTGTGTCCAACGCCTGTCTGTATGGCTCGATGGGAACCACTTCGGTGCCCACATCGGCCTCCAATAACTCATTGACCAATGAGTTGATAATACCGGCGCTCAGTGTGTCCAAGTGCTCTTCGCCGTAGAATGTGTTTTGGTCGACAAACAACTCATTCATTTGCTATTATTCATGTAGATTAAATATTAGATTAGTAAAACAATTAAGGTATTTTTAATTTAATATGAATCAAAACCAACCGGTACGTGAGTACAAGCCTGGGCCCAGCAAATTTTAAAAAAAATTTTTTTTATTATGCATTAATTTTATGTGAAATTCAACGCTAAACACGAATATGAAATTCAATTTTTTTTATCTCGAATATTTTTCGAGTTATTCGACTTTTAGTTCGAAAATATTTAATATTGTCATTTATGCATATGATACATCAATTC